ATATATTTTGAGTCATAACTTTATTTAAAAGAACACTTGTTTATTTACATACAAACACTTTTATTTATAATGGTAATTGCAGAAATTAAGTAACAAATTGTGTTATACCATCTTTTTCACATTCTTGGCAAACAAAATTATTATAATAGTAAATTGTTTTATGTGTATTTGTGGTATTTGTCTTTTTAGACAAATACAAGAAGGTATGATTCTTATAAAGAACTTAATTAGTCGTAGAAATAATTATTAATTACATGGATGATTAGTAAAAAAAATATCAAATCTGACAAAGATTTATGCCAAGTAGAATTTTTGGGTAGAAAATTAAAGCTATTAGTTGAAATGCCTTTTGAAATAATAATAAAATATAATGGAAAAATATTACGAATACAACAAAGATTTTAACTTTTAGGCAAACAGACTACAAGCAGTCCTACAATAGTATCAATAGAAATCAACTCTAAACAACATTGGAAGCTTCTGTATTCCGAATAAATTAGACAAATTAATTGAAATCTGTAACTCAAGACACTTCTTAAACATGGTTGTGATGATAATGTAGTGATAATGCTCATATCAGTTCCTAACCTATATTGTATATTATATCTGTGGTCAGTTAAACATGTGAATTAAAGCCTAGAAGTATAAAAAGGTCTTTAACTTATTACAATGGTAATGTCTCAACACCCAGCGGACATGACGAATTTAATATGTAAAATAATTTGTGTTTGAACGTTTAGAAGATTTTAAAGTATTTAGGAGTAAATGTAACTGAAAATCATAAAAATAAATATCATGCAAAACAACAATGTAAGATAGAGAATAAACGTGGCCAATAAAGCATATTATTTCATAAATAATAAAATGCTTATCTCCAAAACGTTGTCATGGAAAATAAAAATAAAATCTGTACACTTGCTAACTTATGGTCAACCCACAATAGACGACAGAGAGAAATTAATCACCTTTTGAAAGGAAAGTACTAAGAAAAATGTATGGACTTAACAAAAACGCAACTGCAGGAGCTATAGTGGAAGCTGCTAATAGCCTTAAAGACTTGTGAAGCTTAAAAAAAAAAAAGTATATGTTTAACCTTGAAAAGTTGTACAAAATTTAGTTATATTCGTTGGAGACTTCCGCTATTTGTGACCAGAAGGACATCAACGATTTTAATTTTTACTAACAACAATCTACCATGTAAGAACATAAGAAAATAAAGGCAACCCCAAACTGGGTTTATAACAATATACAAACGTACCTCACAAATATTAGTAATGTGATGCACAGCGTCGCATTTTCTGTTGACACATACTTTGGTTTGTTTCTTCGATGTTGACCAACTTATTGTAACATATAAAACATCAACTGGAGTAGCTGCTCAGTCCCGGCATTTCTTCGAACTGTGAAGCGATTATCTCCACTCCAAATCAATACCTACAAACAAGAAATAGAAACATAAGGGGTGAATTCAAAAATAATTTAAGAAGGTGTAACTATGAAACAGTTTATATTTTAGTGCTTATTAACGTCTTTGACTTTGTTAAGGCAATTGCTGCAGAAATGTTTATGATACAACTTCTTATAAGCGGCTACTACGAGATTATTGTTTTTTGACAACTAGGGACTGACTGAGAAAAAATATCGGATTGCACAAAAAATCAGATTCCTCAGTTAGTTCACATGGAAATAATTGATCAACAAGATGAAGTAACCTAAAACCTCACAGGTCATGTGAGCGATTACCGTCTTGCCATTCACCCCGGACCGCCACACTTTACAACCTGTAAACTATGACTTAACATTAAGTATAGTCTTTTTTTTTCATTCGACACAATTAAAATTGTAACAAGTTGCTTTTAAAACATATTGATAAATATTTAAACAGACTAATAAAAAAAACGATTAATGAAACTCTATGAGCGATGCAGAATTAGTAGGTATTACCGTAACGATCATTCTGTCCAAAAACCGATTGATATCAAACTGAATGTACAACTCAAAGAAAAAAATTGAAATGATTTTTATAATCACTAATGATTTTTCTTAAACCGATCATAACCTACTACACTGAAACCATATATTCCGTAACAATATTGTATTGTGGAAAACGATTTGTACCGAATGAAATCGCAAATTAGTTACACATTAGACAAGACGATCAAGATTATACGTCAATGTAGTTTACGTGATTATTTTGTAAATATGTTATTAACCACCGAGGGTAATTTTATTTTAAACAAACTCTAATCGGTCATTAAGCCAATCATTAATTTACGGCCGTTTATGTACACATTGAGATCATTTTTAAGGGGAAAAAAACAATACAAATCTTTGCTTAGAATAACGAGCGAGAATAAATAAACTTGTATGATAGAAGACAGCATACCTTGTATTATTAAACTTGAACTACATAACGTAACTACATAACTTACATCATTCAGACGACCCGAAGCCGACACCGTGGTCTGACACAGTCGAAAAGCGACGGTAATATGGCGCAGCCACCGCGTTTCAAGTCACAAAGGCTGGAATCTCGATCAAAATCCAAATTATCGATTAATAATGATTTTTTTTTTCTAAGACAAAATCACAGATTACATGAAAACAGATTGTTCACTCTCGATGTAAACAAAAAATGAGCTGATGGCCACTCCGCCGAAACCAGTGTGACCATGTCAGCCGGAACGAAATTATTGAACTTGTATTTACCACAAATTATATGATTATTTCATAATATAATCTGTGTATTTACCATATTAAATGTTAAAAAAATAATAAATGTTATATAGGTAATAATATTGACCCCGTCGATAACACTCTATCATTATCTCAAAAACATTTCATTATTAAACATTGATATATATATATCAGTGTTGGAAAGAATGCATTTATTGGATTTCATTCCTTTTTAGAGTGCAATCAAATGCATTACATTTAGTTTTAAGGAATAAGGAATGGGAATTAGTTAATTTTATGTCGGAATGTGAATGAATTCTAAAAAAAAAACACTTCATGGCTAATTAGTAATTTTTAATTGACTGTAATTTACTAATTTATATTTAATTTATGATATATTTTATACATTTTTCATAGCAAATTAACAGATTGATGAACACTAAATAATCAAATACTAACATTTTTTAAACAGTTTTATAGGAATTAATTTTCTGAGAAAATGAATATCTTACATCAGATGAATAATCCTGTAGTTTATACAAGGTGATCTTTTGGTTGACATTATTATTCTGACCAAAAAAAATTAAAATTATTAAAACATATTTTTATATTTAAATTTGTATGCTAGCTTGCTTCGAAATAATCAAATAATTTTGATTTTTATGTGCCTTTTACAAACGTTGTTAAAAAACATCAAAATATGTAGATAAAGGAAAATACTTTTATTTTATATTATTAACTTTCTTTTGTATTTTCCGGAGCTCTATCAACTTTTGAAACTAATAACCAAACTAGTTTACTGGCGCTTCTTCTATTGTAACACATTTAGCTATGATATAATAGACACTTCACATTACTCGTGCGGAATCTAGGGTACATAAAAAATAATTTATCTTCACCTGTGGTAGGGATGGTACTCTGTGATAAAATATACAGCTTTATCGTTTTTTGTTTTAAGACGACGCACCGTTGACGGTTGTCTGTAATCTTGTTATCATTCACCGATAACGGTTGGTGGTGCCCGTGGAGGTAAATCGCGGTTGTATGGCGTTTGAAATAAATAATAATATTGTAATTTATTGATAAGTTCAAACGGCAAACTTCAAACTGTTATTTGTAAAGTATTGACGTCTGGCGTTTGTTTTACGCGTGTCGATGGCCGATTAAAGTTCGTCGATGTTGACTCGTTTAAAGTTCACCCATTAGGTTTATTATTTTCGAAAGAAAATGTATTTGGTATGAGGTGTGTTCGGTGTACAATAATATGACGACTATTCTGTTAAGCGGTATATTAAATCTCTAGAAGACGTTTATCCTAGCAAATGTTTGTTGACCGTTTGTGGCTGTATAGAAAAAGGTTCGTTTAAAACCTCTCATTCACAAAAACGTAGCACCTGTCAGCAGCAACTTGGCCGAATTAGCTGCAACCCACAAACCAAGCTAAGTAAGAAACGTTGTCATGTACATAACCGCTACATCGTACTTCAACGGAGATATGATGAAATTCTTGATCAATGAGATGTTTGACCGTAAAGATAACTCGTCCGTCGAGCAATACTACACAGCATTAGACCAAAATCTTAGATTGCATCCACCTTGTGCTTCGTATATGACTTCAGAATATAAACATCTTTTCCTCAAACTGTACAGGAAATGTTTTCGAGAAATGACACAGTGGGAATATTTAATGGAACCTTTTTAATCAAATAATAAGTGGTTCACTATCATTAGGAGAAGGAAACGCATTTGATTTAGCATTAAAAAGATGTTTGAGTTTCTGTGTGAAAATACTGCAGATCGACTTTGAAGTATGTAAAACAACTGGTTCTAGAGCGTTAATTATGAAATGCTTAAATTACAAACTCGAGAGAAGGACTAGGATGCATGATATATGTAAAATTTTAGATGGCCTATTTTTTACCGGGTATGATATTCAAATGCCAATTATAAACCTTGCGCTACGCGTAAACCAAATGATGGCCATGTAAATGAATTATAATAATTTATTTCTAATCATGTACCTTATTATTTAATTGTTTTTTTTATCAAGTTGTTTATAATTAAAGTGTAAAATTTTAATTTTTTGTGTAATTTTAAGAGCATAGTATTGTTTTAAAGTTGTTTATACTTAAAAAAAAAACCAAATTATGTCTGAATTTTTTTAATTTTTAGTTTTAATAACCAATTAAAATAAATACATACATCATGCACTGTGTATCTTGAACCTTTTGTAGATAAATAAATAAACAAATTAATTTCAATAACATAATTTATAAAAACACAAAAGCCAGTTATATATGAGCTATAATATGTAAAACAATAATAAAATAGTATGTTAGTCTTCAGGTACAGGCTTATTTTTAATATAATATTATTTATCAACAATGTTTTTTATATTTCAAATATATAATAATACTTTAGTTTTTAACACAATTAAATCATACACCTTTGCTTATTCATATTTAAAAAAAAAATTTAATACTTCTGTCTAGGCACCGTGTGTGATTTTATTCAGTTAAAATAAAAAATTATGTACTCTGTTTTTATTAGAGTACATTCGTGAAGTTTAAAATGTAAATATATAGTTTTGATAAAGCTTTACAAAAATCACTTTTAAAAAATAAGAATGAAAGGCTAAATTAATAACTACATTTTTTTACATAGTTTTATCTTTAGTTGTGTCTGTAACAGGTTCAGTGACTTCAACATCTTCATCTAATCGATTGAGGTCCACCGGATAAAGCCTAGAAATATAAAAAAAATAATAAGTAACTAGACTTACAAAACGCAAACGATTGAAAATTACCATCTTTGGTAAATATAAATAAGAAACACTATGTCATCCCTAAAACACGCTAATCGATGAGCAGTTGGCATAGGAATGATAAAAGCAAATAAGTCATCAATGAAGGTGTTGAATGCCTGAAAAATTATAAAACAAAAATAAGAAATAAATATTTATTAAGTGACAGATTTTGTGTTAAATTCCGTTTTTTTTGTACCTTGTACATAAATGTTTTCCATGGCAAATGGGCTACAGATTTCAGTCTGTAGTTAATAAAAAGCTGAGGCAGCATAAACAGGAAACCGAATGCATAAACTCCATTTACGAGGCTCTTAATACACCACGAATAAAAGCTAAAAACATAATAAATTAAAAACTGTTTTTATTTTATTTAAAATGTATAACCCCAATCAATTTTACGTTAGACACTAAAAAAAAGTTGCAATATTGTAGTTTTCCTATTAAAAATATTTTTGTTTATATTGTATAATACATTTTTTAAATAACTTATTTTACAATATTAAAGAATTTTCAATTATTTACCTTTTTTAGTATATTCTTATATACCAAATATTCTCGTTAAACTTTTAGACTGTTATTATGACTTTTGACACGGTAATGTAGTTATTTTATTATATTTTAAACTCATAAAATAATTTACTGAATATTTTCACCAGTTGATAACCAGTTTAGAACAATTGTTCTTACAATTATAAACGTTAAAGAGTTGAACGGAAAGTGTAGTGCAGTGAATTTTTTTTTTATACTTGCGCTTCTTACTCAACCATTGTAACAAGTATAGTTTAACATATAGACTTCTTTTCGAATCCTATGTAATTTTTATTGAAAGAACAAATTATCAAAGTGGTAATTTCACTGTTGAAAATAACGTAAGTAACATTTTTTTTATATATTTAAAACTTGGCCTTGTTATAATGAATAATTTGAATTGGGGAAGATTTGAATGTTAATAAAATTACCAACCCGCGACAAACGACAATTGTTTTCAAAAATATAAACAAGATAAAATATATATTAGAGCAGCAGATCACCCACCATTTTAATAATTTGAATTTCTCATATTTGTTTTTACCTTTTTTGTGGTTCATAAACTAAAGAGTAAACAGCTGCACCAATACAGAGTGGATATAAAACATACAATAAATATTTCATTGATTCCGCATCAAATTTCCTAGTGTCTTCTTCAGCACGATTAAGAGTGACTTGTTTTAATCTCAGTCTTTTCCAGTCGACCGGAATAATTTTAAATACTTTCCAAATCTAGAAAAAAAAAATATTAGATTAGGTTATAATTTGCTAATTCAATGTAGTTTTTGTTGAGGTTTTATACATTTATTTTAGTTTAGCAAATTAAAACAATATTGGAATATTTTTAATTTGTTTCATTACTTCTATGACTGAACTGATTACAGTAGGACCAATAATCAACATAGAAGCTTTTTCTTCTATTAAATATAAAAGTACAATGGTTTGACTAAATGCACGCCATAAAACAAGGCGAGAAGATAATCCGGCCATGGTTTTTCTTGATCTCCAGAATGATATGTCATTTTTAAATGCGAGAAAGTCAAATAATAACTGAAAAAAAAGATTATAGTTAAGAAATGCAAGTAAAGGTAATTTATAATAGGAAAGTTGCGTAGAATGTAATATAACATTTTTAACAATACAGTATTAAGTAAAACTAAGCTTGTACTGAATTTATAAAGATTTTTTCATTTTGTTATACATTGTTGGCAACTTTTTATAGCAGATATGCTAAAGGAAATAAGCTTTGACTAATATCGCAAAGCTATTAAAAAAAACAATATTTATATTTTTTTTTATGCAACTCCTATTATTTCTAAGGTGACCTAAGGTGATGGTACAATTTTTGTCTTACATGTACGAATGCAACAAGAATCGAAACTAACAACAAATAATGATTGGTATCAAAAATAGCTTTAATCTCATCTATATCCTTGTCTTTAAATCCAAATTGTTTCATAGTGCCCATTGCCAATTGTGTTTGTGTTAATATTCTAAAATATAAATATCATATAAATAATAAATCAAATTAAATTATCTTAAAGTATACAAATAATTGGAAAACTGAATAGATTCCTCATAGGATCCATTAATGTTTGTTAGAAGAGCTACTTCATTAAGTATTTACTTAATTAAAAGAATGTATTATTTTATAATTGTAAAACATTTGAAAACTAAAATTTAATTTTTTTTAAACATTTTCCAAGACTTGTTTATTTACCTTAATTCTGCATAACTTATAGGTAGATAACGTAACAATACTGGAACCGAAGAGTTTTTTCTATCAATGTTTGTTACGTTGTATGATCGATCTTGAAGACAATTATGTAAAAATATTGGTAAATATTCTTGACGTTGACGATAGCGCCTATAACAAAGATAAAAAAAAACATCAGAACATGCAATATAACTACTTTTTTTAAAAATATTTTAAGCAGTTTTAAAAAAAAGAAATTTCAACTTGAATTTGTTATTAAAATAGGCCTGTACCTTATGTGTTGATAAATATCACTAGGCGTATGAACCTGAGACAACATTAGCGGTTCAGACATCATGCTTACAGGCATTACGGCCTTAATGTGAGTCACTGGTTTTTCTAAACGTTTTTGGTTATTTTCATCATTGTTGAGCAATTGAAAAACTTTATACTTAGAAATTTTGTACACCGACATTGGCACTACTGTGTAGACTGTTTCGTGATTGGATAAGAAATGTGACCATAAGTCTCCTGAAAACGGAGCATCTTTGGTATTGCTTAGAAATACATGTGCATATAATGTGCCATTTTTTGTAGTCGATTTTGGAAGTTTAACATCAATCTTTCTATTATTCCATAAAATAAAACGTGCAGTTTTATTATTCAGTTATGTGTAATATATTAGAGTCAAAAATATGTTAATCAACTACTTACCTTTCATAGGGCTCATCATAATTCAGTATAGGATAACTATTTAGATATATCACTTCGGATCCATGTGGATTTGATCGAGATGAAACAAATATATGTAACTAAGAGCAAAAATCAATTAAAAAAGAAAAAATATTTTTAACTGAAACTTTGACCATAGTACAAACTTCTAAATTAGGTTTTCGCAACAAAAATGACTTCAAACATAAACCTTCTTCTGTACATCTAGGTGGTTGTACCATTATCCATATTGAATAGAAGAGATTACATAAATACACCAAGAAGAGTACTGTGACAATTGTACCGAATGAAGGAATTTTCATGATTTAGCTAAAAGTAATGTTTGTGTTAGTTATAATAGAGATGTTATATTTTATACACAGACAAATCCTGATATTTGGGAAACCATCAAATTTACTAGTTATTGTTCGAAACAATATGTAACAGTTAATTTATTGAGCTCTTTTTTTATTAAAATTAAAGATGTTATTTATTTGCGTATACGGTATAAAATTATTTTAATCTGAAAAAAGTACTTACTAGTAAAGTTTAGGTTTTTATTATACATCAGGGAATTTATATTATAGTATTTGTCAAATCGTAAGACATTACTAAGAAAACACTTTGATATTTGAATGCATATTTAAAATCGCTCTAAAACATTCTATGAAAGATCATTAAAAATAAACATTATTTAGGTACTTACTTTTGGTGTTTCTAAATGTACCTAATACATATTATTGGTATTGTTATAAACGTTTATTTTGTACTTTAATTGTTAATTTGAATAAGTATTACCATAATAATGTGAATGATTGTGTTAGTAAGTCTAAAACAAAATTAATCGTCCATCATAACGATTTTTTATCTTCGGAAACAGACACCGAATACGTATTTGAAAAAATATACCTACTACCTAACTTCAATATTTACAGAATTACAGTATTTGTTATCAGAGCTGGGTAGGAATCAGGGGCAGTTTTTCCAAAAAATGATAAGAGATAAGAGTTCTTCCAAAAGATAACACAATTTTTATTTTATCGTCAGTACCTCCGGCCGAGGTTACCACGGGACGACCGTTGGGAACCATTGCGGTAACAAATTTCTTATCAATGGTTACGGGGCTGATAACTTTTAGGGCTATCTCCACACAAACATTATTTACTCGAGTCGATGTAAGAAAACTGTTGAAAAAGTTAAGTGTGTAGTCAGTAGTCACATTCTTAAACCTACAGTTAAACCTATTTCATAAATATGAGCCGGAAAGAAGCCCTGACAGCTTTTATTCAGCAAATTCACGGTCGACCAGTCGTCGTTAAACTCAACAGCGGAGTTGATTACAGAGGTATTTTAACGGATTCAATGAATTCACGTTTTACGATATTAAACTTATAAAAAAATATAGATAATCTATTGTAAGATAATAGATTTATGTAAATCTACCTAAAACAAATGTTGACAGACAAAAATTTTACAATCATCAAACTCATAACCAATGTACACAAAAAACAAATATAATTTTAGTATTTTTCTGTGGAATTTTTAAAAAAGATTACTTATTAGTATTTTTTAACTGTGTCTAGGTGTGATGGCTTGCATCGATGGTTACATGAATATTGCACTAGAACAGACTGAAGAATACGTCAACGGCGAGCTTAAAAATAAATTTGGCGATTCCTTCATCCGAGGCAATAATGTGTTATATATAAGCACCCAAAAAAGAAAACTGTAATATATTTAAGTTATTTATGTAATATATAAATATAAGCAATCACCAATTGCCACTCTCTCTTTACACATTTTCAACCCTATAAAACTGTTTATTGACAGCTTTTGACGTGCAAAATTTCCACCTATTCCCTCTGGTTTCCTATAAGTATGTACCATTTACTCCTGTATAAATTATAATATGAAAAAATATTAAGTATAGCTCTACACTTAATTTTCAAAAACACAATTTACGTTCACACACTGTTAGGTTGCTTAATGTACACTTATATATTGTATCCTAACAAACTGTACGTTTTAAATCTGATTTAAAATCTAAAAAAAAAAATTGAATTTAGCGCTCATATACCCTCAACACTAGATCTACCTTAAGTCTAATTTTCAGATCTCAAGTTCTATAACTACACCTGAAAAAGTATATTATGTATGTACGTATGTGAATCAAACGGATGTGTACATATTAAACCAAAATTCCATTATATGACTGTAACTGACAAAAGAACAATATTTTACTTCCGAAAAACTCGACCAAATAGATTGTATCGTGAATTTAAATTATGCCCAAAAATGTATCATTATACTAATGCAAACAAATTGTTCATAACGTAAATCTATAGGCTTAGCCTTAAACACAGGTAACAGGAATATCAACTTGTAGGGAGTAGGTACAGTGACAACAATGTGTTAGTACCTGGTAAAATAGATATATCTGACTTTATAGCAAACGCAACAATACCAGAAAGAAGACATTTAACTTAAAAATTAACAGATTACTTTCTAAACTCATTAATTCTCAAAGTAACACAATAATCTAATTAAAAAACAATGGGAAAACATTAACTCAACTTCAGTATACAAAAGACTTATTCAAAACACTACCAGAACATGATAATTATGAATATGTACTCTGTGTAATTAGTGCCCATAGCAAACTTAATAGTAATAATTATTATTGTGTTATATATAAACGACCATTTGCAATATTATCGCCTTTGTAGAGTTAGAACTATTAGAACGATGTCGCCCAATGATCAATCATGTCAAAACAACGTGGATGTCGCTTTGTAAGCAATTATTAATAAACCTATTCTATATTATTATAATAATATATAAGTAATTATTAGTTATAATATAGAAATAAGAATATTTTATTAAGTCAAACGTGTAGGTATATATAATATATTAGAGTTCCAACATCTAAGTCTGAAAATAGGTCTAACATATACGGACCAAAACTGTACCTTTCTCTTTTCCACCGATTTACTTTTTTGCCAAAAAAGACTATGTTCAAAATTTGAAAACTTTAAGCCAAGTGGAAATAATAATATAAAGTATAAAAATATAACAATTAAAAATAATTCAATGTTATACCTGTAGTTGTTTTAAACATTTTTAAACAATTTATTTAACAATTCTTATTTTCCCAAAAATTTCAAAAAGTGTTGATAAATAGTTTTGGAAAAGGCTACTTATACTTAATTGCACTTAATGAATTGACTAATTTGAATTAGATTTTATTTTTTGTGTAAAAGGGAAAGGTACGATCTGGCCGAAAAACGGCCATGCCTACATATAAGTCACCTTATAACGTTAAAAAAACACTCAAAAAGGGACAAACATTATAAATGTGAAATTTGAAGACTGTTATGGGCTTACAAACTTAAAAATTAGTATATGATCTGTTAAAGGAACACAAATTAAGTGTACCAAATAAGGAAAACAATTTTAAGATTTTGAAAAAAAATTGTAAATTACATCCACATCTTCTGAGCCCCTAATCTCAACATCTAAAATGGAAAACCGATGTCAAATTTGAACATAGCGACTCCAATACCATTTAATTTGACCTATTTTAAAGCCTGCAAAGTAAAATCCCGACTTCTTTTTTTTGAAAAAAAATTCATTTCGATGCAGGTGCTATAACAGTTCAAATTAAATCTTCACTACATTATTCTGAAAACTATAGTTCGTAACGCCCAAAAGGTTAAGGCCAACGAATGTTCTACTCTAGTTTTTTTTTTATAATTCCTATAAAAAAATTAATATTTACGTTTAGTCGTCAGTGTATCTTCATGATTTCTGTCATGAACTATGCAAACAATACAATTATTTTCTTCGCATTTTATGCCAACCACGTGGAAACGAGCTAGAAGATTTATAAGCCGAGGACTGAGAGCATTTGGTAAATGTTTGTGTTGCTGTTTGTTGATATGACAACATCGGGATAACATTGGATCGAGACAGTGAAACAGTTGCCTCGCGACTGCAATTATTGACTAGCAAATACTTTACTAGCCAATACCAGATGGCGACCGTGTTTACTATCTCTTCCTTATGTGAAATGACGTAGACTAAGGAATTACCCTGGTATCAAACGTAAATTCAATTTTTACTAGCTAATATTTTCGTACAAATAACCATATTATAATATGTGCTATAATACGATTTTCTGTAGTCAAACTTCACTTTTACAAAGGAAAATAAAAAAAGGGAAAATTTAGCGTCCAGAGAGACGGTAGAGAGAGCCCATAAACTCGCCAGAAAAAAAAAAAGGGAAAAAGCCTTTAAAAAGTTTTTGTTTTAAATTCAAACTGTGTAAGAACCTTTATTACGGTAAACTGAAACCTGGAGACGAATATTACCTATCGTAGATTTTTTTTTTTAATTTCGGCTACTATTAGCCGTTCATCGATTTTGTTGTTTTTTATTGGATTTATTGGAGTTAAAACTTTAATTCAAATCTCCCATGTGACCAAAGGCTAGACTTGGCTTGCTATAAGTAAGGTTACAAATTATATAATCCTTACCGTGTGCAAGCACTACGTACCCGTAAGAGTACGCGGACATTTTTATACTTATATAATAAATGTTTTTATTTATAAAAATGTATTGTTAAAACGCTGAAAAATAAAAATGTTTAATTGTCGGTGCATTTATCTATTATTTCAGTCAATACCCACGGCAATGCAAACAATAATCAAGTATGTAATTAACTGCATGGAGGTCACTGATACTAACCACCATTTTTTTACAAATTAAAAAAAAATAAGTGAATTAAAATGAAATCTTCTTGTTTCTATATTTAAAACTATAGTATATGAAATTTTGATAGAAAAAAACAACATTTAATTTTCAAAGTTGGTCGGTGCAACAAAAGGGTAAGTTTCACGCGCCGCCCTGCAGACAAATTGGTACTGATGGGTGATGATTTAATCCTGCTGCTTGACAAATTACCCCTAAGAACATCTAATTATAGTTAAAAAATACATGTACTTATACTATAATATTTAAATGCGTCTCTTTAAAATTTGGATTTTTCCTTACTTTAAGCTTATCTTGGTTATTTTCCCTATAAGTAGGTACCTACTTATAATTCCAGCAAGAACATAAATAATCAGAAAGGTCAAGAGTAGATTGGGTAGTCACTCTCAAACCACACACAGTGTTGTTAGTTGAAAACTCAGACCTTTTTCTTATTTTTAGAGCCACCAACCACTTCTTTCTTAAGGTTTTGTCATTGGGTATAGAAAATACAAATAATTTTGTATGCTTATTATAACAAAAAACAATTTTTTTTTTTGTCATTTTAAAAACTGTTTAATACAGACATGTAATAGAGCACATGTGCATAATAAATAATAACACCGAGAGGTGAGAAGTAGTATAATAATTTCAATATGGCGTAGTTATTGATTCGTCTACGTATCGTTTGTCTACTAGGAATTTTATTTTTTATTTTTGTTATCGTGTAAAAAGTAAGGTACCAAATCATCGATATCACTAATAATTTTACATCAAAAATATGAAAATAAAGAAAAATTAGAATCAATTTACCATTGAATGACAAACTCTATACTCGAATACCAGATTTTATTGAAAGATTAATGATGGTTTTGGTTAACTCAACTTGAATATTGGCATGTGATTTTGTCTGTAAAAAAATACTTTATTGACCATTTTCACTTATCATTGACTGTTACTAACATAAATATTAGTGCTTCTGTAGCTAAAATATCTACATTTTGTATTATTTTTCCAAAATCGCAATACCCATCAAATAAATTATTCATCTTTTGAATCCCAAAGGGTTTGTTTCCTAATTAACATCCCAACGAGTACAAAATTACATTCTTTGTCCTGTAAAGGAAAATAATGAAGAGCCTAATCAACTTCTTTAAAAACCCAGGTTAGGTTCACTGTATATATTGAATTAGAAATTCATGACGGATGTGATAATGTCGTAAAACTTCTAAAACATAAATAATAAGAAATAGTTTAAGAATAGTTTTACAATTATAATTCAATTATTTTAAGAACTTAAAAATTTTAATGGATTTATTTTCATCTATTTAATACTTATTATAAAAAGAAAAACTAATAATAAGAAATATTTTATCGGTTTTTTTTTGCCAATACACCTGTACTACTTAGAAAATATATAAATATATATCCAGTCCACCAAGGCATAGTTGTTACAACACTTTCAGTTTACGCCTCAGAGCAATAACAGTGTGATGTAAGAAGACTATCTTCAGTTTTGACACTATGATCAATTTTTAGATTTTGATTTTCTAAATACTTTTGTTGTCGTTCTCATCTGAGAATACTTTCAATACTCAAAGAAGCGACTTCTTGTGTACGTTAAAGGGTTCTTCAAGGGTTTTTAGTTATTGTTTGTTAATATAATGGCATAGTAGGGAATACAGTTTTATAGCCAATAAGTATTATTTCCCACTATTTTCGGAGGGTTTTTACTTAGTACAAAAAAAATGTTTGACTACAGAACTTTTAATAAAATTGTAATTTGTATATGTTGAAGCTCCAACATTAGATCTAACTTTTTAGTTTAATTTTTTAGGGCTTAAGTATTAAAAGCTTTGTGGAAACAGAGAAATAAGCAAAAAATGTCTACCTTTTTCTGGGGAAAAGTTTTTTTTTTAATTTTTCAAATTAGGTATGTTGGTTGTTGTTTAACATCTTTAGACTCTGGCCAATTGACACGCCGGTCAATGACGTTGTGGTTAGTATATGTTGGTTACAATTGTGTAAACAATCGGTTATTAGTAGTCTACAACTGCTGCTGGTCTGTCATTCGTTTCAGCAAAAATAGCGGGTCTTCCCGCTGTTACTGTTAAGTACACCCAGTACTATGTCGGACGCCGGGATTAGTTCCGGCAGACGCAAGTCCAGCCCAATATTTTCCGGCCGGCGGTTCTGTAAGATGGGCACGGGCAGCCCTATATTTTTCGGCCAGCGCTGTGTGGTCGGTGACGTGCTCGTCGCGCAGATCGAGTCGGTCTTGCGGACGACGATCATGCGGCCGGACTCGCCGCATGTGGACAACGACAACGACAACGGTGGCGGTGAGAGACACGCGGACGACCGCTGTTCCGTCGACCAGCCGGGTCCGAACACGCCACCATCGGCAACGGCCCACGGCCCGACATCTCCGGTCGACGGTGGCGACGGCCGCAGCTCGGGCGACAACACGGCGGACACGCGGACAACGAATCCGGCGGTGACCGCGCCGTCTGGTGGCCTGTCGCCTTTATCGTCCACCGGCGACAGGGCGACGACTGCTCTCCGCGGACCCAGTGACATCAAGTTCGCTTTCGTGCCACTCACCTACGACCGGGACTTGGCCGAAAGTTTCCAAGTGGTGGTCGAACCGCCGATGTGCGACAGCGGTTACATGGAACACTTGGACGTGGTGATTTCCTCGTCCTGCGAATCGTTCAGTTCGTATCAATGCTCGTGCTCGGAATGCGACACCGAGGATGGACCATCGACGAAATTGTCGACGCGCACCACCGCCACAAAACGGTCGCGTTCTTCGAATAGAAAGCGCAAGAGAAAGGCGAAGAAGTGCAATACAAGAAGTGGCCGAGGCAAGTCGAAACCGAACAAACGAAGAAAAAAATGACTAAAAAAGTATTGATAAAAGTTTTAAGTTTTTAAAGTTTTAAAAATTATTAAAATGTTACTAAGTTTTTATTTATGTAACTTGCTGCAACCGTTGTTAGTAAATACATGTACACAATAATGAATAATTTTTCTACTGTGCCAATTTGTTATGGATACGCATATAGCATTAAACACAATAATATATTTATTATTTATCAAGAAAATACTACTTACGAAGTGAAAACAATAGATGCAGAACGTTTACACAATTATTCTGAGTAGGCATATTTTTAGGTTTAAATTAGTTTCTTGTAGCAAGAAAATTTTAGTCGTAGAAAAATTTCTAATTTATATATTTTTTAATATTATTTTTTCAGTAGTAAAATATATATATATATAACGGTTTTATGATACTTGTTCACGCTAGAGGGGAGGGGGAGGTGCTCTGAAGTATTTTGAAAAATAAACAACTGGGACTCTATCTTCTCTTAGTTTAGAGACCTAGTTACACCTATGACAATAATACTCTAATATTATTACTTTCGTCCAAAATGTAATTATATAATAAATAGAAAACAAAAACAAACCGTACTACGTATTAATTAAATTGAGTATTATTATTTTATTTTTGGAAAACAATTAAACGAATATACATAATTCATAAATATATCTTTCTATTTCAAGTTTCAACTAGGTTTGATTCGATTAGAGGTTTCTTATGAGATTATGCTCCATTGTAGCTCCATCAGTTGCGAAGGTATTTTATTCATATGTTCTTACTATCTACTATTGATGTTAGTTGTGAATTTTATCACGTTAGCTGTGACACTGCAAGGTGAGTAAAATAAGTTTTGTTTTATTTACTACTCGTTTATTGATTGAAAACACCGGAAAATAACAAATATGATTATTATTTATTTATTCAAAACAATATACAAAATATTTATTAACAATTTATAAATAACAAAAGTACTGATAATATTTTAAGTTGCTTTATGTGACATCTTACAATATAAACTCGTTAAGTGAAAAAATTGGCCTCAGGGTCGAAAAATCAATTGTGGTGTTAAGGTATAAAGTAGATTGGGTTGGTTTCCATAGGTCGATTCAACATTACAATGGAATTTGAACTGGTGGGATACCCAAAATTTTGATAGTACTGGAAGTTTTGCGGGGGCAAAACGCAAATTTGGGGTTGTGTTGATGTCGCAGGCTGAGGATCTGAAGGAGGGTTAGAGCATCTTCGTCTTTGTTCATGTATTTGTGTGATTTGATGTAACACCCCTGTTTGGAACTTCAGGACTTCGTGTTCATCAAACTTTTCCAACGTTGGCATCACACTGTTCATGAAATATGAGATTCTGTTTCGCTGAGCATCTTCTGTGGCTTTCAACGCCTTCAGCTCTGATGTCTCGGACTTCTGACGTTTTTTGGTAGGACAACCCAAATTCTGGCCAGCACTTCTGGTTTGAGCCTTTGTTGCGATCTGTGTGTCAATGTCACCTTCGGTTTCCGACCTATCTTTTTCCCTATCTTCGTCTTTTGCAATATTTGCTTCTACATCCCTTGAAGTGTATAATTTTTTCCTGTCTTCGTCTTTTGCAATATTTGTCTCTACATCCCTTGAAGTGTATACTTTTTCCCTACCTCCGTCTTTTGCAATATTATCTTCTAGATCCCTTGAAGTGAAAAATGTTTTCAAAAACTTCAGTTGATCGCCGTAAACGTACTTCCTTTTTATAGAACCCCCAGCATAATTTTGTTTGTTTTCATTTTCTTTTTTACAAAATTGTAAAAAGTTGTCTCGTACGCTGCTCCATTTTTTCATTACTTCTTTAACTGCAATGACAAAAAACAAAAAATCTAATTTCATAATACTTTAACTATTATGAGTTTGGTAGTTTCCTCTTTTTTCAAACACATTCATTGGCACATTCAAGTGGATGCTATTTTACGTTCGTATATGTCATCATAGGAAGTTAAGGAAAATATTGCAATTCTTCTACAAATTAAATTGAATTTGTTTTTTATTATTTAAAAAAAACCAGATCTTTAACAAAACGATACCTTCTCTGTTATGCATCTAAGCTAGAAATAATTCCAATTATTTATTTACTATGGATAGGTAAGTAAACAAAGAAAACTATAAAAAAAAACCTTTGAGGTACTAAAATCGAATGGCGACAATCCGCGTCCGTGTGTTACCATACTCGCTAATACCTACGTTACCGTTTTAATTGAAGATTTAAAAGTTAAGAGCTAAAAGTGGAATATTATATCATGTTGTATTAAACCAATGTATCTTCAAAAAGAAAAACTACAAAATTACAATTATTTTAAAAGAGAATGAGTGCCTTATATTTTTTCGAATCACTCCGTATTCGAAATTATAATTAAATTCAATATAACTTACTAAATCTATTTTTGTCTTCATCTTGTAATTTCGCAAAATCCGAATTCAACTCTGTACAGACTTCTCTCCAGGCTTTCTTTGCTCCTGTTTTATCTTTATAAAAGATATGGGCCTTGTCCCATAAGATAGGTCTATATTCTACTAGAGAAATTAACAATTCCGTGTTAAATTCGGCGTTCATAATGGTGCATTAACAACGTGAGTTACGAATGTGTAAAAGAACAATGTTAATTTCAGCGAACGAATGCCAATACAAACTGTACAAAAAAAGTGCAAATTCAAAGTATAAATTAACTTACAACAACGAATATGTTATACTGATCATATATGTTTGTTTATTGATTAAAGGTTGGTATGTGAATAAATCAACACAACGGTCGTAGTTAAGGAGTTATTTTCATTCGAACCAATATTTAGACAACATACAATATATATACAATCAAAACAATATTTTTCCTAACATTTGTTTAGGCGCAATTTTAAGATTTAAGAGCTGAAAATTAGACTGAATATGGGTCTAATCCATATCTATTATATGTAAAAAAAAGTTGTAATAAAAATTATTTTTTATTAGGTATGGTAAAACTCAAGTAGTAGTGAAGTATGGATTTTGAAGACAATTTTGCTTACTATATAAACATAATAAGCCTTAAAAAAAATTAAAAAAATTAATAATTGTATACTCGCTATGTCTCTCTAAATAAAATAAAATGGAATTTATTTGAAAAAATCGTTTTACGAGTACTTCAAATTAAATGCACACACACATATATAATATATATGTGCAAGAGCAAGTGTTTTTTTTTTAAATTTTATATTCTTACTTTTCATTAAGTACGTTTATATTTTTATTGGTTAGGTTAGGTTGGGATAACATATTAATCGGACTAATGCTTTTGGTGACAAACTGTTATTAGTACTAGTATTGTTTAATATTAATTTTACTGGTGGCAATATTTTTTATCAAATATTTTGTGGGACAAATGACCTCCCGAAAATCTCTGTACCTCTGTTACAATTAAAATGTGAAAAAAAAGGGAAATTTTATTGTAACGCTCATAAATGAATATTTAATAAGGGATCATTTTGTATGGTGTTTACGATAACATCAAATAGGTACCTATAGTACATGGACAAAAAATGCAAACTTCGCTCATAGTTATTATTATTATTATTTTATTTTTTTTTAATTTCTTCCAATTTTTGTTTTCAGTTTTACATTTTTTGTTCATTAAGAAAATTGTAATACTTTAAGAAACAATATTTTATACTGTATTATTACTGTTTTTTGCTACGTGATGATGAAGGCTATGAAGCTTTAATGGATCTTTTGGCGTCGACTCCCATTCAAAATTGCTTAAAATGAAAACCATTATACAATAATAAAAATAACAAATATTTTTTTAATGACAGTTTTATACAAAAATTAATATCAATCATACTAACTCATTAGTTAAACAGTCAGATATTTATGTGTTAAAAAAACAGTTGTTTTTTAGCTTTACATCAAAGCTAATATATTATTATAACTTACATATCACTGTTGTATTTTTAATCAACTTCTGTAGTAATATGATGCACCAAATAGTAACATATTTTTATTAAAAACCCATAACTGATTTGTTTTTCTGTTAAAAAAGATTTTTCCAAAAACTCGGACATTGTATTACTGTATTACGGTATATTGAATTTTATCTTTTTTTTTTAAATATTTTATCGTTTAAATTACATTAGTATTAATAATATGTAAACCAAATATTAAAATGAGTAAATTAAATACATATATTTTTTATTACATTTTATCTAAAAATTAGTTTAAAGTAAAAGTTTAAGCATTTTTTTCAAAATTGTACTTAGAATTATTTGAACAGTTAAATATTTTAAACAAATGCTTGTTGAATATATATTTTTATCTTGACATTAAATGTTCAATACAATTTTTATAATAATGTACTTTTTTTTATAAAGTACTTTTGCTAGACGCGAAGTTAAGAAGATCATAGACACCACAAATTAGGTACTTATATTTTTTAAAATCTGAAATAATTATAATTAAAATCTAAAGTTTTTTATGACTTTTATCCATTTTTAGCTAAAATTACCTTACAATAATTAATAATACAATGGTTTAATATGTGGTCCGTAACAATTCTAAATTCCTTTTATATTAATTTAATTTTTTTTTTATCATATGTTACAACCCACCAAAAACCTTATAATTTAATGATCTCTTTAATTAAGTAGACGAATTGAGTCTCCTTTAAACCTCTGCACAATTACTATCAATATTATATGTACATCCCAAATAAATAGTTTATTCTATGAGTTCCCAAGGAGCTAATCGTTGGAATGTAGGTAGGTATCTGGAGGGGACAGTCGAAGACTGTACAAATAGAAGCCCGTTGGATAAAACTACCTTCCAAAAAGGAATCTGCAGGTGTTCGCAAAGGATACTTTGTGCGCTGTAGCCTGTATAGGATCTCATGCTTCATGAATGAATGAATTTGAAAGATTGATATTTTTAAATACTTAAAAGAAAAATGTATACAAATTAAAAAAAGAAAAACTCACAATAGCTCAAAATTTGTTATACAATGTACAGAAAAATAACTAAATTCATTATTCTTAAGCATCATCGTTAGTTTAATAATAAATGGTAATTTTTAGGACAACTAAATGGGTAACTAACTGCAATAATCGTAGTTTTCGATTGACACGTCGGCAGTTTCATACTAAGTACATCACTTCCACTGAAAGCAATCGCAAATTTAATAGTTAATGAATTTCTAAAAGAATAAAAAACCGTCTGTTTAGTTTTTGCTCCCAAATACTATTTCTCGTACATTTTAATGCCAAATATGGATTTTTCTAAAAAAAAATTGTCTTCAAATGAGTCATAGCAAGTAATAAACAACTCATATTTTACAAAAAAAAACAATAATGTAACAAAATATAAAGAATGAAATCAAACACAACATTGTAAAAACAATACCTTCTCTACACCGCATCGAAGCTAACTGGTTTAATGTACCCAACACTTTTAAATATGTAAAATCTTTTATTTTAATTACACTTTAAATGTGTATAATAATATTTACAGTAAATCTTTAGCAGGCTTTATGGTCAGGATTTTTTCCAACTGCACGTCTATATTTTAACATAGGCCGAATAGGAAGAGGCTCCGCACTATTTCCTACTCTTTTTAATATTTTAATATTATAACTACCTAGTTTTCAAATTACAGTATTAATTCAATATAATATATTTAGCGTTTATCTGACTGTTTATTTAAAACAATTATTTGACTATCATAAAACAACGATCTGGACAAAAATCAACAGAATACCTATGAAAAAATGTTATTATGTTATTTCTAGAAATCCATATAAGAAATGTTTTGAATGTTATTGAACCAAATGTATAATTAATCCAGTTTCCAGATTACTTGAGAGAAAAATTAAAATTGGCCCTATATAAAATTGATAAATATCTTAATATAAACCTACTCATTTCTCAAGTGTAAATATTCGTAAGGTCCACTGCACATTTTAAACAGGGCCTGATCTTTGGGACCCCTTTCCTTTAAATTAGCAACTACTACTTGATTGAGTAATATTGTTGAAAAATTGTTTTATGGAAGAGCAGCTGCCAAAAAAAATAATAATTACTTTTTACAATCACGGCTGACCCATAAAGTTTATACTCCATTTCAAATTTCAATTCGAAAAAGCACACAGCAACCCCAGAAAGCGAATTAACAAGTTGACTACCATGTCATCATGTTTAACTCTTGCCTTAACTTGCCATTTCGTTTTGTGAAACTTTAAGTTTCGTGTACTAAAATTCACTCACAAATAGCTAGTAATTAAAGCTAGTAATTAATTGAAAAAATAATTTCATTATAATGCTAACTTATTAGGTGTATGACTTTATGATGAAAATACTTTGTAACTTAATGGATTGAAAATATAAGAAATATTCTTGTATATAATTTTTTAAAAGTATGTATATATATATTTAAATTAATTTTTAAAGGTAAAAATACCAAGTATAAAATTTAAATTATAAGTACAAAACTTCATTAATATGCTTCCTACGTGTTTAACTTTAATAACATATGCAATTTCATAATATAAAAACATAACATTTAAATTTAACAAAAATAACATGCTTCCTTCATGATCAAAATGTAATTCTAATTGTATTTTTAATTTAAACATAATAAAAAAGTCAAATATATTTTTGAGATCTATTAATTGCTTTTAGTAACTTAGTATGTTAAAGTTCTAAAGATTTTATTTCAATTTTCATCAGAGTTTGTAAAAACCAGCATTATATATTAATATGCATTAGATCGAATCATAAAATATAAACGAATAATCATCAAATTATAAAAAATCATAAACATGTATTAAACCGTAATCGTTTTAAAAAAAAAGTAAAATTTCATATACTTGACACTATTGTTAAATACACTAGGACAATGCATCAAACAGGAGTACGTCTGGTTACTATAGAATATGATATAGTCCTTAACCCCCAATGTTCAATATTACAGATATAGCCACTAATCCACCTTTGATCATAGTTAAATATAGTCCATACTATTGACTAATGACCCTATTAGGAGATACTGGCTGGTTATCAAGTAGTCATTTTATAGTGTGGGTCAGTCCAGTGGCTGTGGCAAAGTCCCAAAAGGATTAGGAATGTACTGGCCATTGGCTTTGTCTGTTTAGTGTGTCCCACGTCGGCTAGTTAGAGCGAATCGACAACTTCATACGAGTATTAGGTATAATTTGTGTGTTACCATTTACGGCAAAAATATATTTGTCAACTATACTAATTCTCACTAGCCATAAGAGTTTTTTGTGCGGGCACAATGTACTTGCACATGGTGCGTTTGAAATTCCACGAACATGTGGTGGGTACCTATTATATTTTTCTTATTGTGTTCCGGTGTGCAAGGGTCCGGGCTGAACGCAGGTACTAGATGCCGGATGGTTTTTTTTTGGTAGCCATGAATTGTCCCGTCGGACAACTGGCCAACTGTGTGTGGCGTATGCGCTTGGCGGCGGCTGACACTAATATTTTATTCACATTTCTCCATTGTGCTTCGGCGACGCGAAACATCTGCTACGCTCCCCACTTTTCGTTTATTTTTAATTATTCTATTAAATCATTACAAACGTCGGCATCGCAGTGGCTGTGGCATATTTTGGCAAGCGCCTATGAGTTTGCCTCGAGTTGACATTTCATTTCGTTCCTGCGGTTTTGTGGCAGGACAACGTAGTATGCCGACGTCGGGATGCTGCTGCTGCTGCTGCCGCCTTGAACGCTACCGTCGTTTGGTGTGTACAACAACCGCTCTACAGCGTAATAGGTAATTGTTAATATTTTAAACGGTATATTGTTTTAAGCGACAACTGCAATACTTATTTCATGTTATAAAACATAATATTAATATTAACGTTTGATTGGTTCGCTTTTAAATATTTAAGATGTTTTTTTCACCCAGTAATTTAATATTCATTCGTCACCGTCGCATAGGTTGTCTCAAAGTCATCGCGTTAAAAATAAAACGCGTCGTTTCGAGTTGTAGTCGCTGTTAAATTATTATTTTTTAAATATATTTTCTCAGGTATATTATTATTATTTAACAGTTATTTAAACGTGAAAATCGTCGTTGCTTTTTTTTTTTTTATAAAATTCCAGTTTATCCGTGTTGTAAGTTGGTCGCCTAAACTATCAAACGCGATAATAACTTTTTCCGACACTTTTAAATAAAACAAAAAAAGTACAAGGTATAAAATATGCACTTTACTGGACACCCTTTTTTTACAAATTTGTTTTGTCATATTAGTGTTTTTTTTCGCTGATTACGAATCTGAAGTCGGAATTAGGCGGACTCATCTAGTTCTAAAGTTATAGCTACTTGCAAAATTTGCATATTTCCGTGTGTATAACAATAGGTGGTGGGTGGCAATGCTATAATGTTATTAGTTAAATATTTATATTTATTATTATTATTGATTATTATAACATTTTTAATTATAAAATATCAATATTAGGTATATTGAACAAAAGTATAATTTTCTTAAATATTAAAGGCTAAAGTTAGTAAATCTTTCACCGTATAAAACAACTCCCTATGCCCGCCAGTTTATAGTTAAATATTTCCTAACTTAAAGCTTTAATACTTAAGAGGGTGTCGCACCGCCCTATTTTAAGGAGTAAAGTATAGGCAATTTTTTTACAAAATCTTAATTTAAAGGTTAAACTGTGTGATGTGTAATTATTAGTTTAATAACTAGAACTTTATTTTGGTAGTTAATTTAATTTTTGGACTACCACAGCATCCTTGAAAGCGATTTAAAAATGTTTTTCATCTCTACATGTTTAAGCAGACTGAAAATAACTCGCTCAGTTGTGGTAGTATTTAACTAATAAAATGGCTGGTAACAAATCCGGCGAACCTTTTCTAACCATTTACGTTTTATTGTCGTCCATTTACAAATACACACCACCGACGGTGTGTTGACCAAAACGTTTATTGCATCCGTCTTGTTGACGACGAGTTTTAAATTTCCCGCTCTTTAACCGATTACCGCCGCCACGTTATTGGAATCTCCTTGGGCGTCGCCGCATTGTTCGAACCTCCCTGCCGCCGCTCGCACACGCCTTATCAGTTATCGCTCGTCGCACACACACACACACACTCACACACAGCTCAGTACTCACAAAACAGTAAACACACTACCGGCTACCTACTATAGTTAAGGGACACACCATTGTTAGTTGTTTTGTCGGATCGTTTAGATTTGTAAACTTTAGTTTTCAGCGTGTGCACGTTTTACGTTTGTCACGAGGCCAGTTTGTAATATTATTCTAGTGTTTAATTAGAGTCAAGTTATATAATTCGTGTCTCACATAGTCTTAGTGCGTTTATTATTATTATTATTTTTTTGTTAAAGGATTTGGGTAGCAGCCATGACCAGCCACTTCAATTTTGCTGTTCTGCGGCGTGTGAGTATTGTTATTTACTATCATTATTATTATTGTGTGATGTTATTTACCGAAAGATCAACAAGCCAACAATTAAAACTTTAAAACGGATATTGTTGTGATATTATTATTTGGTACACAATAACTGTTAATAACTGCGGTCGCATCTATCTGGCGACGACTGTACAGCCGTTAAAACAATACGTCAAGTAGTCTGTAAGATTAATTGGGCTAGGGTCTTTACTACAAGCTTAAACAGTCCTTAAGTCAACTGTACAAAAAAGGAATTTTTTCTAATATTGTTTGTTTTTGAATTTGTATTCACACTTCATATTTTCATATTAAATTATTATTTTGTTAGCTTAATATGCTATTGTCGTAGCTTTGTAATGACTACTTTCCTGAAGACAAAAATAATATTCAAATTTTTTTTTTATTTATAATTAATTAACACGTTCGCTGCGTATCATATTTCAGTAGCACCTACTGCGGTGCGTACGCAATCTTCAAAATAAAATTTACAACGACGCCAATTGGCGATAACTATT